TCTAAAGCCGTTTTCAGCGCATTCTGGCTGGTAGAGGATTGATGATGTTTCTCTTGGTAATACCGATATATCTCTACGAGCTCAGTACCAGACATAATAGCCTAAATAAGGGCAAGACAGGTGCAAGTCAGCGCTGTAGTAACAAATGTATAATAAAGAATAAAAACTAACACCATAAAAATATACGAAATATGTAAGTGAAAATGATAAGTATATACAAACGAAAATAACAAACGCAATGATTACGGTATATACCTTCATCATATTATGCATATGAAGGGCGGCAAGAGGACCGATAGCAATTGGAAGAGTAAGGTTGCTCAAAAGCCGATATATAAGAGTCCCACCTTGCATTGGGTCATCTGTGATCATTGACTCATTTCGGCATGCGTCAATAGTGGGCTGCCATCGATCTTCAGAATGACCATCAGGAGCAGTAAACCCTTTAAGAACCTCTTCGGGAAATCTCCCGTTAGGGCGTTCAATCCATTGCATGTCCCGATAAATGAGACCCAGAACGCTGGTATCGGAACCGCCAACAGCAGCAGGAATGGATTGAGTTATTAATTGACCGGTAGTGATGGGCTGAGTTGGAGGAGTTTCGGGTGTGTTGGTAAGGTGTTCATTCTCCACCCCGTCCGTCACCCTTTTAACGGATGGTTCAGTACTTTGAACCACCATTTTGACCTGAATCTTTGGGGAAGGGGGAAATCCCTTGTCCTCGGCCTGGTTTGTTTTAGCAGTATGACCATCAGACCGCCTGGGGCTGTTAACTCTAACGCCGCCACCACGTCGATTTGCGAGAGAGGATAATTTTCTTCTCTTTGCGTTGTCATCAGCCATCTTTTCAGCCCTTCTTTTAGCACTGATGGTAGGAGCGCGGCTACAGTATGTAGTAAGGGTGTAGTAAGAGGGTTTGGAAGCTTTGGGGCAACGTCTAATAACTCTATTGCCGTCAGCAGATAACCCAAGCTGTTTGTTATCCAACTTGTCGATACCTAAAATATTAGTAAATAAAAATGTTAAATTAGGTCAGAGAAGAATACGACGATAGTTTCAAAATAAAAGAGAATGAAAATGCGAAGTTATTGGATGTAAGTAAATTAATACCATGGTGGTCAATCCAGCAAAGACCGACGCGTGATAGAGGTGCGTTGCCGAGAATATAACTCACATTCGGCACCCACACCTTGGGAGTTAGACGGACTTTACCGTCACCATTATCAGATTCCAAAATATCAAAATGATTAATCGCCATGCTTCATGTTTACCGAGATCTCTCTCGGGAATAGAATCAAACCTCGGGTGAGGTTGGAAAAATGTTCTCCTGAGTGGAAAATCATTAGGAACGGACATGAAGAAAAACTTGCCTTCCCAGCCCTTACAGCTTGATAACTTAGGGTGGACTGTATATTTACGAGGTTGGGTATACAAGGACCACCACCCTTCTGATTGACCGTCTCTTTTTAAGGTGATCAGTCGTCTAAATGCATTAAGGGTCAATGGATAATTTCTGTACAACATAACCCATACCGTCGCAATAACGGTACGGATAGTGGAAGGAGTTAACTGCACTAAGAAAACATTCCAAGCCTTTAAAATTTTAGCAATAAAAGGATGGAGAGGAAGGCAAAGTCCGAAGTCAAAATGTTTTGCGTAAACCGCAACGCAACCTGCCGGACAGTCTAAGACTGAAGATCCAGATGGAGGAATAGCCAATTCATACTCACCTGGAAGATTATAAAATATTTTGGCTTTACGGCAGTAATCTTTTCCACGTGTCGTCTTCCTAAAGATTTCATTTACCTTGGCCTTTGCAACTTTGTCGTCATCAGCCAGGACGAGGGATTGTCGGAATTCTGCGCTGTCTGTCTCAGAATTGTATCCTTCGTCCAGACTCTCCTCCTAGATAACCTCAACGGTCATGTCAACAACATTGTCCCTGTTCTCAGTGTTGTCGCTATATGCCTCAGTCTCATCATCACCAAGAACAGAGTTAACGGCGGATTCGTGCACAGGTGATGACTGATCCATTTGTGGGCTCGAAGGAACTTCCTTATCGCCCGATTCAGAAGAGCTCACAACCTGAGTCTGACCGGGTTTTCTACTGGATTCAGCCTCCTCAGCGGCAACAACATCAGGCTGGTAATTGGTACACTTTACTCTCGGCATAGTGCTTATACCTATATTGCCAACGTTAGAGTCGTACTGATCAAAATGTTGTTCCTCAGCAAAGCTGTGTAAATGATAACGAACACTAACAGGCTCAACGTCGAGAATTTCAGTATCGGCAGGGATATTAGGGTTGCTTGGGTTCATGTATTGTCCGCGAAAGGCAATAACCTTATGACGAATGTAAGCACGCCTTTGCTCCTTAGAGGTTAGGGGTTCAAAGGGGTAGTCAATGTTGTCGGATAAAGATGATGAATTACCCTGATCCCTACCGACTTCTTTGCCTAAAGACTGTCTAATTAAACGACGCCTAGCAGTGCTAAGGTTAGGCAAATCTTCCTCTTTGATATTTTCAGACATTTTGTATAACCTAAGATTAATAATAACCCAAAAATCGAGCAAACAAAAATAACATGCAAAATTAAAATTATAGTTTGAGAATACCTTTGATGAATAGTGAATGCGGGAGAGACAAAAAGCGATAAACGACGAAAAGGATGTTCTGTATTACTAGCACAAAGAAGAAAAATACTAAAAGGCACTGAAAATTCGTTAACAAACGACTGAAAAAGACTGAAGGATAATCGCTTAATGAGAATATTGGAGGAGAAGAAAAGGTGAAACTGAAGATAAAAAAATTTTCGATTCAAAAAGAGGAAGTTGAAGAAACTGTTGAAGTGAAAGACGGTTCAGAGATTCAACGGGCGAGATGAAAGTAGCAGTTCAAAAAGCAACGGCGGGATAAACAACATGTGTCTCAGACTTCCCATTTTTCCCGCCCTATAAAATATAACCCCTCAACTTCCACTTAATAGATTCCGACAATATTCTATAAAGTTGGTCCTGTCAGCAATCAGCATAAAAAGTCTCTCCCCAAATTTTTTTTGGAATACACATTATCGGCAAGACCTTGTCTGCTGTACGCATACAAGGTCACTTGGAGGGGAAAACGGAGTTTTTTTTGCTCCCAATTTTTATTAAAGTAGACCTTGTCTGCTGTAAGCATACAAGGTCACTTGGGGGGGAAAACGGAGTTTTTTCCGCTCCCAATTTTTATTAAAGTAGACCTTGTCTGCTGTAAGCATACAAGGTCACTTGGGGGGGAAAACAAGGTCACTTGGGGGAAAACGGAGTTTTTTCCGCTCCCAATTTTTATTAAAGTAGACCTTGTCTGCTGTAAGCATACAAGGTCACTTGGGGGGAAAACGGAGTTTTTTCCGCTCCCAATTTTTATTAAAGTAGACCTTGTCTGCTGTAAGCATACAAGGTCACTTGGGGGGGAAAACGAAGTTCTTTCCGCTCCCAATTTTTATTAAAGTAGACCTTGTCTGCTGTAAGCATACAAGGTCACTTGGGGGGGAAAACGGAGTTTTTTCCGCTCCCAATTTTTATTAAAGTAGACCTTGTCTGCTGTAAGCATACAAGGTCACTTGGGGGGAAAACTGAGTTTTTTCCGCTCCCAATTTTTATTAAAGTAGACCTTGTCTGTTGTAAGCATACAAGGTCACTTGGGGGGGAAAACGGAGTTTTTTCCGCTCCTTTACACTTTCTATACATAAAATGTTCACCATATACATACCAGAAAATCATAATAAAATAGTCAATTAAAATTTTTAAGATAACATCCCAGATATTGCAGTACATAATCTCTATAAAGTGCTCGACAAAGTGCAAGAAATGGAAGCTTGAACATATCATAATATAAAATCCTAAAAGTGAGAACGTCGCCTAATGAACGAACGTCCTCACTTGGGGGGCTAGATGTATGGGAAGATATGTGAAACGAGCTGACATCTTTCATAATATGGACCTTAGTCTAGTTCAGCTGGTAAATAGGCCAATATGTTCCACAAGGTAGACATATCGGCCTGTCGGTATTCGACACGTGGCAACAATGGTGTGACACTTGGCGAAAAAGGCTTTGCATGCTTTGTAGCAACCTGTCTTGTTGTTCATAATAAATAGTAGGTTAAACTTCATTAATGGTAAGCATTAATTACTTTCTCCCTCTATCTCTCTCTACTTTCTCTCTCTTACTTACCTTCTCTTAAACACATTCTAACTTTGTCATCGGAGTGGTTATCCCCGGATCACCCTGGGGTTAGCTAACTTCTGTTCATCGTGTAGGTTCTCAGCTTGCTGATAGGAGTATCAGGATCTCAGGTTCGGGTTCTCGGGCTATCGGATACAGACAGAAACATTTTTGTTTTTTTTTCATTATTATTATAAAAAGGCAAGAAAAACACTAAATTTGTCAATCAGGCTGATTGACTAGGGCAAGCCCAACTTAAAAATTGGCACCCTCCTTGATGTTGCTATTTCATGCAAATCCTCCAATAAAATGACACGAAAATCCTTAAACATCGCCTTAGAGATGATAAGCTAAAGTGTTTGCCCTATGAAAATTTAAAGTAAAACTTAACAAAACGTCAAAATTTAAATGAAACTGAATACTCCCTCCGTGTTTTTTTTAAGTGTTACACTTTTCATTTTCGGCCGTATTTTTTTAAGTATTACACTTTTTTTTTTGGCAAAAATCTACATTAAAATATTATAGTTCTCTCCTCTCATGGTCCCACTCAAACCCACTACTTTTATTATATCTTTCCTCTCACATTCATTACTTTTCAATAAAATATTAACCCTACTATTTTCATTTTACAATTTTTTAATACTCCAAATATCCCACTTATCTCTTATTTTATTTACCTAAAAGCTATATGCCGATCAAACTTTAAGACGGAGGGAGTATTAATTGTTGATATTATTTAGATCTGATGGTTATTTTTGATTTAAAACGCCCCTGGTTTTAAAATAATCGTGTCATTAATTTTCCTTAATGTTATCAATTACTCCGTATATCTTCTTACTTAGTGCTTTGAAAAATTAACTTTTAAAGCTGCACTTCTCTCTCACCTCCATTGAAGTAAACTACAATTCCTCTACTGGCGGTTACTGAGTTTTATCTCCATTATCGAAGCAGCTTCTGAAGTAAGTTTCTTTTAATCATCGATTATCAGTTTGAAAATCTAATTTATTAATATCAATTCAATTGTTAGTATAGTCTATTTAATCAATTCAATTGTTAGGGTTCAAAGTTGGATTATTCAACTAAAATTACTTCTTGATTTTTGCAGCTTGACAATGGGAACATATCTTAGTAAACCTAAAACTGAGAAGGTGTCTGAAGATGGTGAAAATCATAGAGTCAAATATGGGTTGTCATCCATGCAAGGGTGGCGTTCATCTATGGAAGATGCGGTAAGTTCAAATTATGGCCTTTAAACTATCAAAATCACCTATTACCTCCGTTTCCGTTTCAAATTATTTGCGACGATTTTATTTGGCGTAAAGTATGAGTAGAAAATTTTTAATCGTTGCATATAATTTGAAATGGAGGCTGTCTTTTATGGACTGTATATTTATATGAAGGAGAATTTTTTTTATGGATTGTATATTTATATGAGAACATTTGTTCTTTTGTTTATTTTTTTTTTATCATGGTTTGGTGTAGGGATAATACATATTTTTGGTATATGAACTAGAATGAGAAAGTGAACATGAAAGTGAAACCTTTTACCGTAATTTGATTAGGAAAAAAAACAATTGAGTAGAATTTTTTCGCCGAGCAAGTTTATGGATGCCTGTAGTAGGGGTGGAGAGCATTAAGGAACAAGTTGAATGCTGGCTGTATTATCTGCTTTCATCAAAAAGCTAGGTTTAATACCGACTTGGATCTTCTCTTCAGGACCGGAATGCACTTTGTTCTATTTCATTTGTCCACAATAAAAGTATAGCTCTAAAAATCGGGCTAAGTTGCATTAAGAAGAGATATTTGTTGAGAATAGCTGGTAGGATTCCAAATGGATGCTGCTGAAGATGACGATCCTTTCTGAGAAAGGCTCCAATTTGACTAAATATATAACTGTTTAATGAAAGAAGCTCAATTTCGCAGCAATTAGCTTGAAAATTTATTTCATATTATTAAGGGCGGGTGATATCTGAAATGTGTATTGAAATCATCTAGCAGGCGCATAGGCGCATGTAGATGTTGGTGGGTGTTGTTTATCTTTCACTCTCTTTCTACTATCCAATGATTGGTTTACCAAGGACAAAGTCTGTGAGCTTGTAAAGGTTAAAGGAGGCTAATGACTTATTGAGTTGGTTTGTGCTAATCCTTGCTAAACTTTACTTTGGCATGTATCACCTTTGGTCTAATTCTAAATTGGTGCACCCTGGATCGAGTATATATGGCTGGGAGAGTTGGAACTGTAAATGGCATTGTTCATTCTGCAAGATATTTAAGAACTTGCTGTCTCTAAATTTTTTAAAGTTCTGAGAAAGTTATGTAGTTAACTTCTCACCATCAACTCAAAAAATGAAAAAATTGCTCTGAAGAATTACCGCTACTACCTATTCTTCTTCTTCTTCTTCTTCTTCTTCTTCTTCTTCTTTTTTTTTATTTTTTTTTTATTTTACTTTATATTTTATTTTATTTAAAATCCAGTGTATGAGTAATATGTTTTACTTGTCTACAGCATGCAGCTCTTCCAGATTTGGACAGTTCTACATCTTTCTTTGCTGTATATGATGGCCATGGAGGTAAATATTTATGTGTTTTTCCCATTACATACACACATCAGTGAATAATGTAGTAGACCGGACTTGGGGAAGGGCACTTTTGGTCATGTAAATTAGCTTGGAGAGGAAGGCCGTGAGTGAGTTTCTAGAGGTGAGAGAGGGAAAGGAAGTGATGACCGATGTATACCAAGGTGCTCAGTCTAGGACTAGGAGAGAGAATAAGCTGATAACTGGTTGGGTTTATTTTACTTTATGTTATTCTGTAGTTGGAGTGTCCAACCACTTGAAGCTCTGTGATTATAAACCCACTTGATTATATAATCACATCAGATAGCAATGTGCTTTCATTTTCCTTCTAAGCTCTCTTCTTCTTTCTCAATTCTACTGATCTGATGACAAAATACCTGGCATTACAGCTCAGCCTTCACATATATCTTGCCTTTTAATTAGTATTTAGTTGCTAATTTCTATTTTAATCACTCTTTGTTGTGGGAAAGTAAATTATTGGATTTCTACAAAATGGGGGCCTGGAATGTTGTGGACAAGATGGCTGAAAAGATCTGGTTTGATAATGATCTTGGTTTAATCAGGCTGTAGAAAATAGTTACTTTGCATTGATAGTCATACTTGTTCGTAGGGTGATGGTGGTTCATATTAGCTGTATGACACATTAAACGCCTAAACTGACTTGGATGATTATTGAAAGGCATGAATTGTTTTTAGATACACAAATTTCTGAAAATTTTCAACCAATTTTCTGCTTCAAGCATTTCACACCTTTCTTCACATTTATGAGTTGCTGTTTCTGGGATTCTTTCGAAGTTTTCATGTACGCTGAAACAGAGATGTAAGGAGTAGAGTATTTTGGTATTATAAAATTCTTTCGTCATGATTTTTAATCTCCCATGAATGCTCTTCTTTGTTTTTCCATTCTATGTCATAGCATTGATGAACAAATTTCTTTCTGTTTGACTAATAGAAGGGTTTATGGGGTGTCTCCTTGTGTGATGAGTCTTGAAGAAATGGGGAGGGTATACCATACGTTCTTCGTTTGACTGGTTGATATTCCATTTACTCTATGCTCTCTCTCTCTCTCTCTCTCTCTACGTGTTTATGAACAGTTGCACCTCTGAAAAGATAAGCAGAACAGTGCTTTTGCCATAATTCAGTATGTTCAACCCTCCATCTCCTCTTATCTTCACCTTCTACATATTGTTTTAATGAAAATGTGTACTAAAGTTCAGGCTCTTTCATTTTGATCTTGGAATTTACAAAGTGCTTTGCTGGAGACTACAAATTATGGCAAAAGCACTGTTCTGCTTATCAGTTTTTCACACACAAGTAAGAGTAAATGAAATAAGAAAACTAGTTTAACTGGTATATAACTGAGTTGATTATGACGCATTTACCAGCTATTTTATGGCAGGTGATTGAATCTTTATTTTATGCTTTATGGGCTTGCAAAACATACTTAAGTTTTACATAGTTTCGACTATGGCATGCTTAGATATTCTGACAGTCTGAGACATTTGATTGCCAGCTTAATCTTCTTGGGGTGTTTCCTATCTGTTTCCTGATGCTACGTAATGTTTCTTGCGTTTCTGAGAGCAGGGATATTTGAAAGGAGAAAGTTTCTGTGCTTCATAGTGATTTATGCATATTGTGTATGCCTTAAATATGGGTCAATATATTTTTTTTTCCCTTTTTAAAGTGTTTTTTTTATTTTTTTTTATTTTTAATATACTCTATATTCTAGATTTTTTATGATCATTTATATTGGAAAAAGGAATATTAATTTAGGCTAGTTATTGTTGCTTCCTAAGGATTTTGGAACTGAGGTGCTGACAATTTTACTAATTTATTTGATTATTCTGATTCCACTTCACAAGTTAGCAGTCGATGTTTATGCTTGAGAATGTGAACTAATTAAGTTGTTAAGTCTTAAGAGACAGCGACAGCTCAGGATTGGAGGAAATACGTGGACTGGGAAGTGAGAATATCTTTTTGATGGTCAACAAAATCATATTTTCTGTCTATTGAAGTGCTAGAATTTGTATTTGATTTTGTGAGAAAATCCCTACCTATGAGCTTGTTCTGTTCTGTCTACTGTGAACTTGAGGAGTGTATGGGAAATTGGAAAAACGTGTTTAGTGAAGAAGGCCCCACCTTGTGTGTGGGTGGAGGTTCAAGGGTCAGATACTAGTTGAGAGATACATGACTACTCTTTCCATAAGTCATGAGTTTTTTTTTTTTTTTTTTTTTTTTTTTTTTTTTTTTTTGATGTCCAGCTTAAGGAGAAACTTTGTAATATTTGTATGTCCTATGTTCCAGAGTATCTAGACAGTCACTGGTCTTGCACAATACTGAATTGGTTAGTACCTCTGTTCATGTATCAAATATGAGCTAGAGTAATGGATTGGAAAATTCTGTTCCTACCCATACTTGCACAGCATAACATCTTAGTTCCTCCAATGGATAGGGTGGGTGGTGTGACTTTTTGTAAAATAGGTTGATGACCATGAGCTGGCCATTCTTTAGAAGATGATTGTGAACTTTGGTTTGTGATGAGGAATAAGTCAAACCTTTGTCACATGTATATTCTGGGTAAGAAATTAGAGTAGAGATTAGAAAGTTTGAAGCTGACTAATAATTATGATGGAGGTGGTCTAAAGAAGGTTTTCTCAGTTTGAGTTTGTTTTTTATTGCTGTTATGAATTGTGAGGATGTCTTGTCCTCTAACTTTACTTATCTTTTATCTTCAAGAAAAAAATTCCTCTCTAAAACCTGAAGGAAAATATGGCTGATGTTATTCCTTCCATAGTAAATTGTGGTGCTATACTTCTTCTTTGCTTCCCTATCTTTCTTCTTTCATAAGTGATATGGTCTGCTTCATATACTGAGGAGCTTGTAGGCCTGCTTTCTCCTCATATATGCTGTGACAACTCATTATGCATGACAGAGTTTTACTTTCTTCACTTTTGTTCTCTCTCTCTTTCTCTCTCTCTCTCTGTCTCTCTCTCTCTCTCTTTCTCTCCTTTTTTATTGGTTGAAAGCTTTTGAAGTTTATCTTATAAATGGAACTTCAATTTGGAAGAGTGATGTAATGAACTGATTTTCTGAGTTTATATTTCTGATTTAATCATGCAACAAATAAGGATTAAAGCTTGGATATTGATTGAAAATGGCAAGGATTACAAAAGATAGGTTTAATAGCTTGAGGCTATTAATCTCCAACACTGAGTTTAGCTCACAACTCTCCAACAATGGCTTTAGGCCATAACTCTCTCGAGGGTTCACACCAAATTTCTGCCTATCTTCGTTCTACCAGTCTCTATTTATTTATACTACTTAGCTAAATTGTACAGCTTTAATTACTAACTTCACCACCCCTTTGTCACTATCCTAATATGCCAACTAGTAACTGCAGCCTTAAGTTGCTGTTTCTAGGTGTGGTTGTGCCTCACCACCTTGATTGAGATAGTGCTCAGAGGTCTCAGACCCTGTCCTTTTCTCTGCTGGCTGTTGTTTGTATAACCCACATGTGGCTTGCTCTGATTCTTTACAAGTGACTTGCTGGTTCAGCTGTTAATTTAAAGATTTGTTAGTGTTTCTGTATTCTCATAGTACAGTAACCACTCTGTAGGAACTAGGGGAACTAGATAAACAATACTTCTAAATAATTCATGGAGGTTCTGCTTTCCCGTAGGTGTTTGTTGCAAAGAGTGCAAAGTGTGAGAGCGTGAGAAAGGAAAGGGGGGGGGGGTGTGATGGGGTGGAGAAATTTTTTTAAGGCATCTGGAATTTGTTTCTATGAATTTTTTTCTTCTCACCTCATTTCTCCCTAGAAAAAAGGACAGCCTTTGCTGAGGATGGATGAAATTTATAGATAGGATGATAACAGTGAAAATCAACATTAAAGTTGCCCAAGACATACAAGAATATGACAAGTGAAAGACTTAGATGCTGCAATGCATTGGGTTTAGGGAAATCGGTATTATTGGTAGGTGCATAATAAGTTTTTTGTTAGGATTAGCTTGAAAAGAAGGCAAGTGAGTAAATTAGAGGGACAGTAGGGAACTGCTTTACTTCAAAAAAATGATTTTATTTTAGAGTTTGCTTATGGTAATGTCCACTGTTTAGCAACTCGAAGCTCTGGGGTTCTGGTTCTCCTTGGTGATAATTTAATTGCTGCTTAAACAACCATATATCAATAATTTCCTAAATTCTCAATTTCTCATCTACTCAATTTCTTCATTTTATTCCCTGATTTTCCAATCTATTGAAAATGCCAATGACAATCAACGCATTTTCCTATGCTTTCTCTTTTTTTTTTTTTTCCCATTTGTTTTTATTTTAAATCTTTTGCTTTACTTGTATTCTTTCAGCTTGTGCTTGAACCACTGTCAAGTACTGATAGATAACTTTTTCACAATGCGTTGCAATTTAATTCTAAAGTCTGGGTTTCTCATTTGACAGGGAAAGCAGTTGCTAAGTTTTGTGCAAAGCTTCTTCACAAGGAGTTACTTAATGATGAAGCGTACATGGAAGGTGATTTGGAAATAGCACTCCGTAGAGCTTTTCTCAGGTTATTTTCTTTTTCAAACAGGTCTGCATTGTATTCGATCTGCATTTTATTCAACTCATTAGAAGGTTCATGTACTATAAAGATGGTTTTAGATTTTTATGTGTCAATTTGGAACTTGAAAGTTGACTAGAACATACCATGGTTGTACCGTTGTAGATAAGGCCTCTTACTTGAAAACTGTGTCTATTACATCTAGAGTAATCTGTGTCGAAATTATCTCAAAGGAATATTTTATCTTGGTAGTGAAACCACCTATCCTATATTATGTTAAAGTTGACAAACCTGATTAATGTTTGGTTTTATTGAATCTGCTCAGTCACTCATTGTAGGGAATAGTTTCAAGCCTTTAAAATCCCACTAACTTGAACCCCACTGTGATCATACACTAAAGTACGGTGGCGTCCAAAAGGGAAGAAGATAGAGCAAAAGAGTCGCCAACAAGTTTTTAAGGAACTTGTAAACCGTTCACGAGGTGAAGGTTACACCCCTTAACGATCCAAGAGATCGTCAACTCCATAAGGTCATGAACCAAATAAGGGTTCGGGGATGATGGTACAAATCCAACCTAAAAAAGATTGAACCTGCCCTAATAATAGGCCTCTACTTTATTCTGCTTGTATTCATGTGCGTTTTCTGACTAACATACAATCAATAGGATTAACCCTAAACCTGTTTAATCTATGTTGGTTGAATATAATGCACAAAGAAACTATTATTGGCGATCACTTGAATTATAATCAAAGTTAACCCTAAACAAGAATATTAAATATCTTATTAAGCGTGATTGCAAATACAAAATTCCCTTTAAACATGCATAAAAAGGTGATCAAGCAATAAAATAAATATCAAGCAACATAATAAATAATCAACATCATTAATGAGAATAATATCAATCATAATCAATGATAATCATAATCATGTTAAAGCATAGCAAGATCCTAGGCATGATACTAACAAGATTAATAACAAACCCTAGCATGTCACTAAGCAATAAAAATCAAATCTTTAGCCCTAACATGATATTAACAATCTAAATATTAGGGAGAATATAGGAAGCATCGTAGAAATCATACTTGATATTAAAAATTACCCTAGACATGATACTAGGAATATCATAATAACAATGTAAACATGATTTCTACATCATAATATCAATAAAATCAATTAAAGTACTTACTTGGATGCCTCGTACCCCTTTCTAATAACAAAATACACACGTTAGTAACTTCAAGGAAAATAATAATCAAAACAATTAAATTAAATAATTTAAATAGAGATTTGGGACCAAACCCTTAGAAATTAAAACCTTTCACGTCTAGGGCGAAGGCAACTTCGAATATGGCTAGGTGTTTCTAGATCTTGTGAATGCGGAATTTTGTATGAAAACCAAAGTTTAGAAAAGAGAGAGAGAAAGAGAATAATCAAGAAAATCTTGATGAGTGTTGGTGATTGAAAAAGGGGAGATATGACCTCTATTTATAGGAAAAAAAGAGAGTCGAAGAATTAAGAAAAGAATCCAAATTTGAATCGAAATAAAACTCGTAGACAGCAGTTTTTGCGGGATTTGTTTTTATTATATCTTTTGATCCAGGAATCGGAATAAGATGAATAAGATGTCATTGGAAAGATCTTGAAGTCTACTTTCTAACCCAATTGGAATCAAATTAAAATATGTTGTAGAATAAAATATATGAATGAAGTAGTGAGACGGTGTCAGTTTTGGATAGAGTTTGATATCTTATTCATATCTTTTCCGTTATAGCTCGGAATTATTATTATAATATATCATTGGAAAGATAATTTCAAGATCTATCCAACCATATAAAATTTGGATAAATAATATGAGGCACAAAAATAATATCTGACTGTCTTTGACCATGTTTAAATCCGAATAGAATTAGGACTTTAAAAAAGGAAAGTTTTATAAAAAAAAAGAAAGTTTATATTTAAATCAAATTCCTTAATCTTATCTTTTCAAAAAAGGATAATTAAGATACTTTAGAAACTTATAGAAGATTTTAATCAATCCTAATTAGTTTAGGATTAGGATTAAACCTTTGGACCCTCCTCATGATCATTGGGTCGTAGGTAAAATCCGGTTTGGGCCCAGTTTAGTATTTTGGCCATAACTTCCTCAATATTCATCGGAATTGGGCTTATAATATATCGTTGGAAAGGTCTTTTCAAGCCCCATCCAACTACACCATTATTGGACCCTTATCATGGACCAAACTAAACTGGAATGGACGTTTTCATAAAATAGAGTGGGTTTTCGAAAACAGAAAGAAAGAATTTTAACAAAAACTAACCGCAACACTAGACTTTTCACACTTTCACCTCATTCGATTATGGTTTGACGTGAAAGGTATTCATCACTGGGTTTGGTTTTGGGGAGACACAAATGGGTGTCTACACTCATCAAATCACTAAATATCGTTTGCTTCCTCTTGCCCGAAAAGGTGTTGAAGTGGGCCAACCTTCTCATATTCATTCTCTCTGTTTCTCATGGTTGTCAAGTGACTCCAGGTCCTCATCAATACTCTCTTCCTTTTAGGTGGAGTGTTTGGTTCACAAATTTTAGGAATGAGGTATGAGTTTAGGCAGTCTAAATCCATACCGTGTTTGGTTGATAAATTTAAGAATTTTAAACTATACCTCAAACCCTACACCGTGTGTTTAGTTGATAATTTTGAGAATTTTTAAACCTTTACCTCCTTTTGGAATTGAATGGAATGAAATAGAATCCATTCCAATGTTTGTTTGTGCATTTTTTGCCATAGAGTCTCATACTAACGGTATCTGACTCTATTTTAAAACCCTACAATCTCATACCCATCTCCACCCCAAAGACTCTAAAGGTATTGCATTCTAAATACCAACTCTAACTAGTTACTAATCCATTTCAATTTCATACCAAACAAGTATAGCAAGGTAATGGGGTTCTTAATCCATATCACCATGGTATGGGTTCCCAATCCATTTCATTCCAATTTATTGAACCAAACGACCCCTAAGATATGGGATTGAGAAACCTAGGGCAGAGGTAAGGTTGGTTCATATCAATACTTTCTGTATAAAAAACTTCATTCCAATACCAAACATATGCTATTAAGAATCAAATACCAGTACCAAACCCATATCATCTTGATTTCGTTCCTAATTTCAACCCCATACCCTCGATGGAATTGTTGAGCTAGTTTACGAGTTTCACTTGTGGGTTGTGCTAAAGTACTTATCCGTTCTAGTTTTTTTGTGTTTTTTTTTTTTTTTTTTTGTGTTTTTTTTTTTTTTTTTTTCCAATAGGCATTTTCCTTATAATTGCCTTTCTATCTGTCTTTATATTGATTTTGGACTTGTGATAATGTCTGAAATTCTTTGCCAACTCTAAAAGCTGGTTTATATCAATGCCAACCTGATTCATAGTTTCTAGAATTGCCTTTTTCCATTTCCGTCTTTGCTTTGTGCTACCTAATTGGTAAGTCAAGATTGATCCAATGGACAATTGGACATACAGAAATTTTAGGCTCTTATTTTCATTACATTGTTACAAAGGACATATTTGATGTAGTCACTTCTACTTTGGATTTGAAGATTTAATGGATTAGTGATTCGTTTGAAAAGATGTGCTTCTAAAACATTTCTATTGTATGAATTGAACCCATATATTTTATGATTAATTAAATTCCCCTCTCAAATTTTGTTGATTAGGCAACATTAATTGCTATTTGTTATTAGGTGCAAGCTTACCAGAGATAGGTCTGACAGATAGTGTCCATGGTCATCTTTCACGACATTCAATGATGTTGATCTTAACAAGTGAAGCACCTTGTTTTCTCTTTGATGATTATTCCCATCATATGTGTATTTAGGACTGTATATTAGCTCTTTTACTCTGTACTTTGAAAGACTATTTTATATAATATATTCCCTCCGTGCTTTAATAAGTCTTACAGTTTGACCAAACACGCATGCCGAGATACTACTTTGACCATCAATTGATCTAATTATATGTAAATAAAATCATAGTAAATTTTATAATATGAAAATATACATTATAACGAATCTGATAATATATAATACAATAACATTTGTTTTTTTATATATTGGTAAATTAATCAAGTCAAACCCATTATGGGGATCAGTAAAAAAAGTCAAACTGTAACACTTATTAAAACACGGAGGGAGTAGTATACTTTCTATGTTCTTTAAATTTTGCAATATTTTACATTGTGATTGAAATGTAAGGAAAGAGTATGTGGGGTCGAGTAGATTCATCTGTATATATACTTTCACAATGTCAACATTTTATAATTATAATTGAGTTTAAGACTGTGCTTTGGGAAGCTTATTTCTCTCCATTTTTTTTTGTTCGGTTCATTCCATTTTAGTATGTTATTTTTTATTCCATAATTGTTGCATACATCCTCATTCTCTCTCTTACTTTATTCACCATTTTCTTACACAAACCCTTTTTTTTTTTTTACCTTCTCTCTGCCTTTACCCTACTTTATCACACCTTCATGTTCAATCAATGAAAGCCTTAATCCCATAAGTGGGCCGGCTACATGAACCAAAAGTGATTATTCCATGTAGATCACACCCTCGTGTTCAATATTTCCTTAAACTGCATATTGTGTAGAACATTAAAGAACAACCGAGGGTGTTAAGACACGAACAAATATGGCTCATTTTTTGCTCACTTTGCAGAATGGATGAAATGATGCGTACAAACAAAAAATGGAGAGAATTAATTTGGGAGGATAGAGAAAAAAATGATGGGATTGATGATGAATTGTTTCTCATGAGTGGTGAAAATGAGGCTGAAACTGATGCGGTATCAAATGAGGTAAGTACATTGTTTTGGACAAACTAGAACATGGCCTTTTTTCTATCAGATTCAACTTGACCAATATATGATGCTATGAGTTGGCATGTATTTTTGCTTGTCAACTGTTGCTTATTGGTGGATTGATAGCTTCTTTTCTGCGGCTAGTAAAACTTAAATGCCATCGATGTTTCTTATAAAGGTAAAGCTTGCTTTTCTGTGATGATCAACAATTATTTGTTTTAATTAGTTATATCTTTTATGCTTATTACTTTATGTAGAACCATCATTTGATGTCCCCTCTTCTATTTGTTTATTTTTATGAACACGATTTTGGTTCTTTGACTCCCATTTTCTTTGATATACGACCAGGAGTCTGATTCTGATTTGGAGGAACCAACATCTGGTTGCACGGCATGTGCTTTAATAATCCAAGATGACAAGTTAGTCGTTGCTAATGCTGGTGACTCTCGTTGTGTGATGTCTAAGTGTGGTCAAGTAATCCTCTCTCTTCCCCTCCTCTTTCTCTTACTATGCCCTTCCCCTCTTTACCCCTCACCCAGTGTAGCAATTAAAAGAGTAGATATGTTTCTTTGCCATACATGCTGTATTTGTGATATTTGCATGCCTTCCAAAAAAAAAAAACAAGAGATCACCATTCAAAATTGTTAGTGGGTCGAGATTAGGTCAAGATCAAGGTCAGGGTCAGGGTGTAATGTTTTTTTCCAGTTGTAAAAGGTCATTAGTGGGTCACGTTAAACGATGAATTGTTTATTTTGATAAGAAAATTATAATGAAGTAATGGTTAAAAAATCTATGTATGTATAGAATATATGAAGTATCAATTAAATTTACTTACAGTATGATTAATACGAGCAATCTGAATTTGAGTATTATTTAGTAAATTCGAGTGACTACTTTAGGTTTCATTTTATAAAAAAGAAGATGGTTAAACCCAGTTGTTACTCTCAAGGAAGGTTATTAAAGAGGCTGAGAGAAACTAAAGGGCAACTAAGGAGCTGCTTCCAAATTATGGTGAGCTTAGACTTATATTATCCAATAATCAAAGTGGATGGAATCCAATATTGCCTTATAATTGTCTTAAGTAAATCACCTAAGGAAAATTTTAAGCACAGAGGGGAGAGAGAGAGAGAGAGAGGCACAAATGTATGCTACCACAAAAGAGAGAGAAAAGAAAAGAGAACATTCGACCCTATTTGAGTTTGTTGATATGTCCGCGACAATATTTAATATAATGTGGTGGTCACTAAAACCCTATAATGACCCTATTATGCCTCTGTTTCATGAAGAGTAGAAGGGTGAAAACCATTAATGTTGCCTGCGCCCGACCCTTTTTTTCTATTGACAACCCTGTCCTATATAACCTCTTCTAAGCAATTTTTTCCCAGGGAAAAGATTGGGGAAATGACAAGGTATACTAGGTTCATTGCATAAAATGTCATGCATATTTGAGATGAATGGCACGTCTTGTTGTTCCTTTTTTATAATAGGAATGTCCATCATTACTTATATGCTCCGCTAAGGATGTAAGATAATCATCCCAGTAACTAGTTTTTTCTGCATCTACGATGCTGATCTTTTTGTACAGGCTTATGAATTATCCAAGGATCACAAACCTGAACTTGAGGCTGAGCAAGATAGGATCCTGAAAGCTGGTGGTTTTATCCATGGTGGACGGATAAATGGATCCTTAAACTTGACAAGAGCCATTGGTGATATACCTGTTGGAGCTATTTGTCCATTAGAAAGCTGTCAGTGTTTTTATTGCTTTCCTCGCCTCTTGGGGCATTCAAAATAAAACCTATTGTGTGCAGGAGACATGGAATTCAAGCGTAACAATGTATTGCCAGCTGAAGAGCAAATAGTTACTGCAAATCCTGACGTAAACACTGTATGTACAATGTTGCATGGACACATCTATTAGATTGTATATAGTATAAATATTGCATGTAGTTTTGCAGCAGAGGAATCTAGAGTTCTTCTGTCTAGAAAACTGTTGCCATGGACAATTTTTAATAACGAATTGTGGGTTTGTGGCTCACTTCTTGTGACCTGTTATGTTTCACCTACTGTAAAATGACAATTTATCAATTGTTACCACTTATGTAATCATTATTATCCCTCTTCAGGTTGATCTTTCAGAAGATATAGAGTTCATTGTGATCGCATGTGATGGAATTTGGTATGCCTTTTGCTTGATCTATTGCGGTAACAATCACTTTTTGCAGAAGTTAGCTTTGTTGGTTCTGTTAGTTAATTGAACTTTTTTTTTTTTGAAAGGCTAGTTAATTGAACTTGATATATTCTTTTTTTGATAAATTTGAAAAGTTATCCATGCACATGAAATTCTTAAATGTGATATTCTGTTCAGTGCCCAGGTGATAGGATTATTTTTTTTGAATAATTCTGATCCTAAAGTAACCAACAATTGTGAGTAGCTTACAGAGTTATTGTGCTCAACTGCTCACATGTTGGAATTTGGTATTCCTTGTGCATGATTTCTTGCAGGCCTTAACTATTACTCTTTGCAAAAGTTGAAATAATTGGCTCTTCTATTAGTTGATTTAACTTTATATATTCTCGTTTTGATAACTTTGAAAAATTACCCATGCAAATGAAATTCTGAAACTTGACTTTCTGTTTAGTGCTCAGTTAATAGATTTTTTGTTTTTTTAACCTAAAGTAGCCAACAATTAGGGTAGCTTACAATCTTCTTTATTTGTATCTTCTTGGATGCACATGCAAATGGTGTATGTTTTGTCAAATGTCTGGATATACTGGGTTGTAGCAAAATTTCTCTTTAAAACAGCAGCTATGATGACTTTGAATGATATCATAGATAAATTTTATTTTAATTTTACCTAGTTTATTATTTCATGGTTTTGCTGCTGCTTCTCTCTCTCTCTCTCTTTTTTTTTTGTTTTTTGTGTGTGTGTGTTGATTTATTGTCTTATTTCATTGCTCAGGGACTGCATGTCAAGCCAAGAAGTAGTAGACTTTGTACATCAACAATTGAAATCGGTAACTCTTAATTTACTCTCTTACAATAATGTCTTATCTGACTTGTCCTAGTATTTAACTGCAAGTGCTTGTAACACTGCAGCAAACTAAACTTTCTGTCATAAGTGAACGGCTATTGGACAAATGCTTGGCGCCTTCTGTTGGTGGTGAAGGTTGTGATAATATGACCATTATTTTGGTTCAGTTGAAGAAATCTGCAACCTCCAGTTCCGGTGTTGATACTGAACATCCTTTTTCTGATAAGTTACATGTAAAAAGTTGAAAATTTTCTTTTCATAAAATGATACACCAGATTTTCTTTTCCATTGACTATGTACTCTGTACATAGAAGTATAGTGTATGCTTTTTTGTTCATGTTTTTGATGTCAAACAAATTGTGGAAGGGTTGCTAATTGAAGATGTAGTGTAAGCAGAAATACCGTTTACATCTCAGGTGAATTCACTTAGTTGAAATAGTTTATACTACATACAATGTTACTATCACACTGTACTTCCAACTACGTGTATTTGTTCAATTTATTTTTGTTCTTTTTGAAATGGGATGTGTTTTATCACTTTTATGACATTGTTGTTCAAAGCTATTTTTATTTTGACATTTTTTGAAGAAAAATGTACACAGTTGTTAATGGTCTCATAAAAAACACATAAGGGAATGTTTCAAAAATAGCTAATGTTTTCCTATCTCAAAAAAACCAAAAGTCAAAAGTACCAAAACACAAAAAGGACAAAATTGCGTATGAAATGAAAAATAAATGCAATAGAGAAAATCAGGCATTCTCTTTAGGGATGGTAATGGATCGGAGATGGGTCGGATGATGCTTCACCCACCCCCATCCACCAACAATTCATCTGTCACTCAATCCATGCATCACCTAATTTACCTACATCCACATTCGATCCATCCATCGTACATGGATGAATCAAGTGGATCGGATGATAAGTCAGGTGAAATAAAAAAATAAAAATACAATTTTGCACTTTCATAAATAAAATAAAGATTAGACAAAAAAAAAGTGATTAATTAATTAAAACCATACATTGTTCTAATGCCTTTTCCTTTTTTACTTTTTTTTTTATAATCAATTCCTAACATTATAAGTAGACATTACATTATTAAAAAGATATGTTTATATATATATCAATTTAATGGGTGGGTGGGTCAGGTTATGGGTTGGATGTCTCATCACCCAACTCTGACCCATTCCGTTACCTGGCTCAACCATATATCACCCGCTTAAATTCGGATTTTCATCCATATAAGTAATGAACTAATGACTATGGAGTATTATATATCAATACATGTCATTAGTTCATTCCTTATCATCTCACTTTTATAGGTATGATAACTCATTGATAAATCAAAATTTATTTGGCTTAAAGATTAAAAATAAACAAGAACTAGTCTTATTAGAAAACTAATATTCGGTAAGTGCTAATGACATTATATGAAAAATGACACATGAACCAATAACTTAATATTGACCCAATAATAAGGTAAATAACTCAATAATTACTCTAGTTTAGAAATGACCCTATTTCTTGAATATAAAAAATATATGGTTAGTTCAACCCAAATTTAGCCTACATGAAAAATAATCTAAATTAGAATTGACCAAATACGTACGGAATCAATGTTATCCTATTCCAATTGAACCGAATTCAATCGAACCAAAATCAATTCGACCCAAAATTATCCAACCTTAAATTATCCAGTTCAAACTTGTTTTAAACCCGATACAAATTTATCCGAATCGAATATAAATGGATCTCGAACCGAGGCTGGGTAACCTTAGCCTGAACATGACCTACTCGAATCTATCGACATGTCGTGGGTCAACCCTTACTCCATCCTATTACCTAATTTGACATCCCTTACTCCATCATATTGAAGTTTATTCTTGTAACACTAAAAATTTGTGCCTGGGCTAATAAACTACTCACCCTGTCAAAAAAAAAAAAAAAATATAAAAAAATAAATTATATAGAGCTACATATTCTTAAATCTTACTAATAATTGGACAGAAAGAAGAAAGTAGTAATGGTTTAAATAAAATACTCCTATTTTAAATCACAAGATTTACAAAAGGAATATTCTGTTGTAATAATGAGAACAAAGTAAGATATAGCATGTGTTCACTGCTTAGCTACCTGAATTCTGATTAAGACCTGATCCCGAACAACACGTCGGCCAGATTCAAAGAGGGAAAGTGTAGATGTACTTCTTCGTACTCTATTGAAAACAATAATGAGTACTCCGTTGTTGAGACTTGAGAATTAAAGAGTTAGATATCATGCCTGCATGGGCGGATCTAGAACCCCCAGATTTTTTGAAAAAAAATTATAAGTTTTGATTTTTTTTTTGAAAAAAAAAAAAAGGTTAAATTTTTTTTTGTGAAGTAAATAACCAAATATTTAAGTCTGGCACATTGGTAAGGGAGTGAGTAATAGCGTAGTGAGGTTCCTGTGGGTTCAAATCTAGTTGCCCTCATTTTTTTTTCCTTTCGATTTCTTCCGTTGTTCTTCCTGAGTTTGTCCATAGTAGGGTCAGTAATTTTAGGAGTAGTAGGTTGGTCCTTTTGTTAAGTTAGAGAGTCAAATGAATTTAGAAGTTAATGAGTTTATTTAGTGGGTTTAATCATGGCATTATACTTCCAGTTTTTTAGCTTATTATTTATTGTTTGTTAGCCTACATATATGGCTCTTGTATTTGGTGAATTAAGCATGAAGAAATATTATTGAGTTCCTTATTTTACTTGCTTCATACTTATCTAATATTATTATTATTTTTATCCTTTACTCCTCTTAATTCTTAAATCTTTATTTGTTTGTAAATTAATAATAATTAGATTAATTACTAATTTGTTTAATTAGTTTTGATATATTGTTGAATACTTGAATTGTTGACAAATTGAATTTTAGAAACTTAGAATTTAAAATTTTTACTTGGTCTTTTAATTGATAATTAGAAAAAATTTCCATGGTCAAATTTGTGTTTATTGGGGACTTGGGATTTTTGTTTTATGTGTAATATTGATTTTTTGCACTAGAATTGTAGATTTATCATTTATAGAATTACTAATGTATTAGCACGCTTTCAAAGTATAAAACTAAAAAAATGCTTTTGTAGGGTTTTTTTTTTTTTAATTTTTTTAATTTTTCATTTTGTAACTGTTTAATCCATCCATTTGCAATAAAAAATTTGAACTTATGTATTGAATATTTAATTAATATATGAACATTGTTTTGGGTAAAATTACCCCGCCACGTGGTCCAATGAGAATTGGACACGTGTCCATCTTATATTGGCCTAAATTGGGCTACTTACAAAATGACACGTGGAATCCACTGTCATCAAAAGGAATGACGGCTTTCAAAAGCCCAATTCCCAAAAAGCCACCAAAAGCGTGGGCAGCCCACCAAATCTAGGTCAAATGACCTAGGTAAGGGCACACTTATCAAGAATGATCCTATAAATAGGGAGATTTTCCCCATTTGTGGGACAGATTGAATTTATTACAAAATTACTAACATTCTCTTACATCAAAGAAATCTTTTGATCTCGGAATCTGAGAAGATCTCACCTTTATCTTTTTTATGTACTTTTTACTCACTCCTACACGTTCTAACTTGATCGTCGGAGGCGGAGCTCCAACCACCCGGAGTCTCCGTTGTTTTGCAGGTACAGGCGCTCCTCAACCAGTCTTTGAGTTGTAGCTCTCCCGAGGGACAAAAACACCCAAAACATTTGGCGCCATCTGTGGGGAGAGTACCTCAAGGATGGTTCAAGAGTCTGTACCACCTCTCGAACGTCCGGTAGATCAGTCGGAGAAGAGGATGATGATCCTCAAGTCGAAACCTACATTGCCAAAGATGGCTCTCTGATCACTAAACACATCCGTCCCAAAGACACTCTGGAACGGAGCGAGAGCCAGGTGGGTACAAACCGACCCCCTGGTCAGCCGGAAGGGGAAACCCACACCGGAGGTGGATCTGCCCCCGACACCCTAGACGAACTCATGAAATTCTTGACTAGTTTCAAGGGTGAAATCAAGGATCTTATCTCCAAAAGTAAGGCTGGCCCAAGTAAGGGAAAGTCGAAAAGGAAGACTCCTCTAGAAAAGAGGAAGCCAGTCAGAGACAGGCAACCGACTCCGTATCCAAAGGAGAAGGCAGTCGGGACCCTTGACTGGTCCAAGATTCTTCTACCTAAGAGGAATACCAACAATACCCGCCGGAGTGAACAGCCGGTGGGAAACAAAAAATCAACTGACGCTCGGGAAATCATTACCTGTAGAAGGAGTCAGCAGCTGTCTGAGTCAGCCTTTACATTGAGCTTTCCAGACATCTTCAAGAATACATCTGAAGGGAATATTCAATCTCTGCATGAGAGCCATACAGGCGGTAATACCGTCCACTCTGGCCCTCAGATGATTGGGAATGCACCGTATGTACCTCCTATAGTCTACGGTCAGTACTCCCCTCAATTCATGCAGCCGACCCTCTTTTGGGGTCAGGCGGCATTTAACGTCCAGCCTTTGGACTGGCAGCTCCGACTGCTCAAACTTGGTGAACAAAATTCTGCGTTCACCAAGGAAATAACCGAAGTTGCACAGCCGGTCAAGGTTAAAAATGTGTTGGTAGGTGCTTACGATGGCACCACCAACCCCGTGGATCACCTCATGGTCTACTCTAACCTCATGCACATGCAAGGGTTGGAGGATGCTATGTGGTGTCGGTGCTTCTTGGCTACATTGAAGGGCATTGCCCAACAATGGTTTGGCAACTTGCCAGCAGACTGCATTGACAGCTTCAAGAAGCTTGCCTTCCTGTTTGCTTCCAACTTCTCAATGAACATCCCTGCCAAGAAAACCAGTCTCGATCTGAGCACCATCCGGCAGGGAGACAAGGAGGGGCTTCGCTCCTACGTCAGGCGGTTCAACCTGGTAAGAATTCAAATCCAGGGGCTGTCTGATGAGGTGGCATACACATACTTCTTTAAGGGTCTGAAGGACAGGTCGACCTTTAAGTTCGACTTTCTCCGAAAGAGGGTTTTTACCCTTCAAGAGGCGTTGATAGAGTCGGAAAGCTTTATTCAAGCTACCGACCTCTGCTTGTCCAACCATCAGTCGGACTCCAAGAGGTTCGACAAACAAAAAGAGAGTCGGTCTGCTTAGCCGGCTTAGAAAGCTGAAAAGAGCAAAAAGAGAAAAGAAGTTTGGGCGGTTGAGGAATCTGATCAGCCGTCCAAAAAGAAAAAGAAAGAATTCAAACCATATGTTTCGCGGTATGAATTCAATAAAGACTGCTACACCATCTTTTCAGAGGTGAAGGATCGGCTCACCATTGAGAAGCCGAATCCTATGAAGAATTTCGTTCAGTCGCGGAACAAAAATAGATTTAATCACTTCCATTAGTAGGTGGGCCATGACACAAACGACTGCTATAGTCTTAAGCGGACGTTGGACCGTCTGGCGGACAAGGGCTTGCTGAAGTCCTATGTCCTGGTCCAAAGAGGTTTC